AAATAAATCTTTAGAATTATAAAATAAGATTATAGTAGGCATGCTCTTTTTCTAACTACCTAAGGATTTTCCTTCTATTTAACCTCTTAAGATTCCTTCCTAGGGAATCTCTTAGAAATCCTTAGAATTATCTCTACCTGATATATCTTAGGGAAATCTATAATAAGTTTTCTATAATTACTATACACTGAATAAATATAATAAAAATTACTTATATCTTATAAAAGAAATCTTTAAACTTTACTATATAGAAGACTTTAAGTACCTAGCTAAATTATAATATTATAAATAATACTATCTATAGAGTTAAAAGTTTAAAATTATAATTTTTATAAAGTATTTTAAGTAGAATTAAATAATTTAGAAATTTAATATTAAATTGCCTTTACTAAAATAAAATAAAAAACTTTAGGTATCTACAGATCTCTATATAGAGCTAGTATAAGTTGTATATAAATACTCTCTATATAGATATTAAAATATTAATAAAATTCTTAAATAAGTTAAGTTAGCATATTAATTTCTTAAATTTTTTTAAAGAAAAGTATAAAATACTATTAATTAATATAATCTATATTATAAATCTCGTATAAAATAATATAAGCTATATAGAGAATTATAACTACTATTAGTTATAGTATAACGTACATGATAAGCTTATGTCCCAGACAAGTATGTGTCACACTTTTCAAAACCCTCTATAATTAAAGATATAATAAAAGCACCACAAACCACTTAATCAATTAAAACTACTTATCATACTCTTCCCCAGATGTCTCAATCACTACCTGACATGTCCTTGCATTATGACCGGGCTTGCCGCAGACACCACAATGCCGAACTCCCGGTCGCGCCGACCTCCCTTGACCACCACTCCGCGACGATTCGGCTATTACCTGCGCATCAATATCCATCTGATCAATTGCTTGCCTTCCTTCCTCTACTGTCATTACCCCTCTTTTCTGTAGTCGGGTCCTTTTTGCTCTCCGGCGCCGGCTTAGTATCTCATTTGCCTGTCGAACATCTTGGAGCTCAGCCCTCAATAGAGCAACCTCATGCATATTTCCCTTTACTGCCTTTGTAAGAGACTTCATAGCTTCAATAATTGACTCTGAGGAGCTGCTTTGATGCCTTCTGATTCGTCTCTCAAGGTATTCAGACTGAGACCCGGCCTCAAGTACTGTCTTTGGGGTCTTTGAAGCCCAAGGGGTCGAGGGCTCGGCCTCCTCCTCAACCGGCGTTGGAGTCCGTAGCTGCACATCAAGCTTTGAAACCACACTTTCTGGGTCGAGAGGAACAAGCCCGGCTCCTTTAAAGGCTGATCTGATATTCTTTTCTGTTATAGTAGCTTGAAATGCGGCATAAAAGGCCGGGAAGAACTCAGTCTTTGAAATGTGGGTTATAGAGCATCTGATTAAATGCTCTATTTCTCGACCATAAGCCTTCTTGAGCAGCCCAAAGCACCCGACGTCAAGTGGCTGAAGTAGATGGGATGAATGAGGCGGCATACAGAGCGTGATAATCTTATTTTCCTCGCAATATCTCTCGAAGTCGATAGAATGGTGGCTTTCGTGCCCGTCGAGGATCAGAAGACGATAGCGACTATTTGATCGCTTAGTAGTATGCCGGTCGAAGTGCTTTAGCCACTCAAGGCCTATCTTATTATCGGTCCAGCCATTTTGGGATATTGTAATAGCCCAATTGCCTGGGAGGTTGCTTTCTCGGTACCAGTTGGCGAGGTGATATTGGCCCGCACCTATGATGAATGGCTGGATTGCTTGGCCTTCTGCATTGATCGCCTGGATTACTGTAATCCATTCCCGGTTTCCAGGCTGCACTGATTTCGGTCTTCCACGCCTTTCTGCGCCTGTAACGACCATTCCGCTTGCAATCATACCCATAAGGAAGCCAGTCTCATCAAAGTTCCAGATATCATCTATCGGATGCCGTACTTTGCGATTGTATTCTCTACGAGCCGGAACTAATTGCGAATAATAGTTGGATCTTCGCATTTAGCCCTCTGATAGTCGTATTTACGAAAAAAACGCGTCTTGAGCTCTGGTTGTCGCCTGACGAAGTTAGAAGCCCAGCGCTTGCCGACAGGTGACGCGTCGCGGTCAGCAAGCAGTCGGTTAGCCATTTCTTCAACACCACGCAGTCGCGGGGGAAACCCTCGTGAATCTAGGTCGAGAATGAACTGAATAATGATCTGTTCCTCTAGATCAGATAGCTTGCGTGATTTAGGGACCCAATCGCGTCGAGACTGCATGCCTTTCTGGCGGCGACCTAGCTTTTTATTGCAGACTTGGTATATTAATGCAGCGCGTCGGATGCTTAATTTCGGGTCATTTTGAAGGGCATTAAGAGCAAGAAGGATATTAGCCTCTTTATTGAATTGAGACATGTTTAGTGGTTGAGGATCAATTGATTAAATGGAAGAAAGAGAAATTGAGGGATTTTTGGGACATATGCTTGTCTGGGACATAAGCTTATCATGTACGTTAACTTTAGAACTTAGTTATAATATATTTTATTCTAAATTACCTCTATTTAAAAACCTAATAATAAATATCTTCAATAATAATATTCTTATTATTATAGATAGACTTATAAAATTTTCCTATTTTATCTCATACTAGAAATTAATAGATATAGAGCAGTTTATCTATATCTTTCTATATAATATTATTAGTATTTATAGACTACTCTTAGAAATACTCTCTAATAAAGAACTTTTATTTACTTTTAAGTTTTAATAAAGACTAATATAGTAATATTATAACTAGAATTAAACTACTAACTTACTATAGTATAATATACTATATAATTATTATTTCTAAAATAATAAGAATTATATTATAGCTAAAGTTTCTATTTATTATAGTAAGTATATATATTATAGCTATAGTTATAATAGTATAGTATTATTATATAAATTCTTTTTGTAGTTTTTCCTTTAGTTATTTTTTACTAATAGATATATTTAATAAGTTTTTATTATAGAAAAAGAAAAAGAAATTTAAAAAAGATAAAATAAGTAATATACTTTTTAAGATTTCTAATTATATAGCTGCTTTATAAGTAGAAATAGCTACTATAGCTAGTTATCTATTTTATATTTATAAAGATTTATAGTAAGATATTTAATTAGTAATTTGAAGTAGTTAAATATAGTTAATAAAGACTTAATAGTAATAATAGACTAAATAGCTATAGGTAGTATTTAGTATAGAATATATAAATAGTAGGAGTTTTAAACAATATTAATTAGTCTTCTTTAAATTTAAGTAATAATTTTATAAATATTACTTTCTTAATTAATTCTTCTTTATTTAGTATTATTAATAACATTCCTTTAGAAGGTACTATATATAAATAAGACTTTTAGCTAGTTTCTATTAGTTATTACTCTTAAAGTAGTCTTTTTATTTACTAAGATAATAAATCTATCTATTAATTTATTTTTTATTAATAATAATTTCTAATATAAATTCCTTTAGTAATTTAACTTCTATTTTTAGTTTATTTTTAATCTATACTTATATTTTTTACTATCTCAAGAAGTAAGATATATAAAATAGAGTAAATTCTAACTTTTAGTAGTAGGTTTAATATATAGTTATTTTCTGATATTTTCTTAATAATATTATAAAATCTAATATACTTATAGTTTAGTTTTTTATATTTTTATTTAGTTAAAAAAACTTTTTATACTTAAATAGTATTATAACTTATACAGTATTATAGCAGACTGAGCCCTATAGTAGCTATTATCTATACCTATAATTATAAGTATTATAATTATAAACTTACCTTTTAGCCTTATGGCCTCTTAGTGTAATATAAAGTGTAGATTATTATATTAAGCTGCCATTTTTACTACAAAAAAGGTCAAATAGTAATAATATTAAGATTGTTATATCTATATAGATTAAGTTTATAACTTAGTATATTTCTAAGATTAAGAATAAACTATTTAGTAATAAAATAGCTAAAAAAAAAAGCAAAATATAATGTAGACTGTAAATTATAGAGAATTTAACTACAATTAGACTTTTAATTACTATTTAAATAATAAGAATACATTAGAAATTGCGATTAGAGATACTTAAATTACTATACTAAAGTTATCATAGTAGATATAGAATCTAAATTAATTAATTAACTTTAATACTATCTATAGATAAAAATAATCTAAATTAAAATATATAATAATTCCAATTTGTAGTTATATAATCGTCTCTTTACTTTTTTAATTTACCTTCTACTTAACATTATATTATATTAGTAAAGTAATAAAAGGCAGTTATATATGTAATATAATTACGGATTCTATTACCCCCTCTCCAAGGGATAGAGGAGGGCCTTTACGGCACGCTTAGTCAGCCCCTAGGTAATAAGTCTCTTTATAAGTCTGGCTTTCTCTTATTATTCCCGCTTACACGCTCTCCTCTCTAGTATAGAAAGGTAGCTTACGTAGTCCTACTATGTAATGGAATAGACAGATTAGTCTGTGCTTGGGCCTTCAGCCCTAAGCACATGTCATGTCCTCGGCTTGTCACCTTTCTGACAGCTATGGTCCTTAGTAAGCTGCTCCACTAGCAGATGTCTCTTGTAAGATATGTGTTCTAAAACTCGCTGCTAAAATCAGATATTAGACACATCTAATGTCTAATACCACATGGCGTGAGATCTGACGTACCGGCCCGATGGGCATATTTTACGGATGCTATATTATAGTTCGGCATTTCTAGGTTGTGATCATGGCAAGTCTATTGTTAGTTGGTCGGTGTCAAGTTTTCTCGATACTACGAGCGACTCTTTATGCATTGATGTGTTGTCTCGTTACTAGCCAACATATCACTTTTAATATCGTAAACAACTGCAGCGACCAGAGCATATGGCCCGCTCTAACCGGCAACACGTCTTTAATCGGGTCTCCCAACCCTTTGACCAGTTCATCGCCTCTCTTCCCGAAGCAATCCATCCAAACTTTTCCTATCCCATTGCCCTGGTCAGGCAGGATATGGGCTCGTCAATTTTGTGCTTCTGACGGAACTAACTGCTTAATAGGTGATTGCTCCGAGTCGACTTGCTGGGGTCATTCATCGCAAAATACTTCTCTTTTCGAGATTACGGCATCCGATCTTCAGGTGGTCTACGATGTCAGCCTTGGTACGATTCGCCAGCATGTTGACGTATCAGGCTCCTGACAATACTAGTGGACGGTTTCACCATGGGTATCACCGGTATGCCGACGAACAAGAATTGTGAGACGATTTCCTGTCAGGTCCCCCCTTATCTTGGGTTCGGGGAAAGCGGCAAGCCGCTGTGCCCCGAGTCCAACATACGATCTTTCCAGAAGCACGGAAACTTGTCTCAGGCCTATGCTTGTCTATCAGATTGTTCACTCTACGGCCTTGGGCAGTACTGCTGCTCCGACGAGTTTGAGACGCCAGGTGCTTGCGAGCCGAGTAGTCAATGGTTCAAAGCTGCATGTCCCGATGCGTACAATTTTGCGTTTGATGATTCTGTTTTGAGACACTGCGAATTGACCGACTTTACTATTGTTTTTGGTTGCCCAACTTAGAAGAAGAGCAAGCAGCGATGAATAGACCATTTCTGGGGAAAGAGTGACTATTATGCCTCCTCGACTAGTATGTCGAGCACTTTTCTTAGTTTGGCTAGCATCTATTATTACCCAGCTCTTACTAGCCGCTTGACAAGAAAACTAGTACAGGGGACAGCTAGATCTTTGATGGATTATCGCGAATAAATGTGAATCGCGTTCGATATGGACGTAGTATAGAGTCGTCTTAATATCACTTAGCCTTCTGAGATGTCGGAGCGTGTGAGGAGAATATCTACAGAATCCTTAGTCTGAACTGGCCCTGCTCGTGCGAACAGTGAGATATTTGTCTCTCAAGCCTCCGCAGGGCGTATCCTCCGCAAAGGTCATGCAGCTTGACTTAGTAGTCGATTGAAGAAAAAGTTTATATTACTGGGGTCATCTCACATCATAAGCTCCTCGACCTTTCGCCAGCCGGGCTGCTTGGTAAGTGTTTCACTTTCTATCACTGGTTTTGCAGTCACTCCTTCTTGTAAGACTCCTATGTAGCGATGAGCATAGATTATATGTGAACTAGACTAAATGCAAAGGTAGATTGCGTTTGGTAAGTCATATGCAGCTAGGCGACGGCTCACGGGTTGCGCCTGTATCATGAAGTTGCAGCCCTTACGGTTTCGCTCAATCGCTAGCCAGCATCTCTTGTTCATTTCCACTCAGATTTCCTCTTTCTTTCTTCTTTTTCTACTGTGACATAATGGACCCGTCTTTCAATCCGTTCCTACGATGCATCTCATGTGGCTTATTGCTATTTTTACACCATAGATTGTTTTTGCAAATGATGGATAAGGATGCATCGCTTTTGTTTGTTGTTTCTCTATATTGCTATGCCGTAACCAAGGAGAAATCTGGCGCTGAGATTCGATACAGTACTCCCTACCAAGTTTGATCCAGCTATGAGCCAGCACGCCGTACCGTCGCACCAGGCTGGGAACGTCTGTCGATAGAGGAAAAGGATGAAGGAACTCGCACGAATTTTAGTTAAGCAGACGTGGAATCAAGAACACCCGACATCACCGCAGCTGCTGCGATTACTCTGAATAGTAAACCCTCAGCTGGTTTTTCTGATCGAGAACGAAGGATGTAAACCTCCTGAAGTCAAGCGCCGGGCAAGTTCGATATCTTTCTGTAGGGGAAGAGTTTTCATCAGGGTCAGATCAGCTTACTTTGCCATCGATTCAAGGTACCTTTTGGATGGTTACGCGCTTGGCATGAATGGCACAAAGGTTGGCTTCTTCGAATAGAGTTGCAAGATAGCACTCTGCACTTTCCTGTAGAGCTCCGATAGCTGCGCTCTGGAAACGGACGGGAGACTTGACAAACAGAGCTATCTCTTTAATCTGTGAAGTGTCTGAGCAATTGTGGCGACGAGTGTGGGCATTCTCATACTAAGCGTTGGAAAGCCAACCTCGGGATTAGGAGATCTGTGCTCTGTTGGAATTTTCTTATCTCCCGTAGAGATACGGTACCTGGTTTGTAGCGGTATTTTCTAGTTGCTTCCAGGTTACGAATATTCTTGAAATCTTTTCTCGGTGCTTGCCCTCTAGACGATATCTGAAAAGTTTGCTTGATTCGAGCCATAAACGACTGATGCATCCAGATTTTGGAATTTTATACTGCTTGATATCTTACGCTCATAGAAGAACCTGTCATCGTCCATCATATGCGTATACGTACACCTACGAGATAGAAACGTAAGAACACATGCACAAGGACTTACTTGGCTCGTCTTTTCGTCAGTCCGAACTTACAGCCTCTGTACCTCAAGCGTTATTAAAGATTCAGTACTATACCCCTGATAGCAAGTCGTCATCAAGTTTCCAGGTATAGCTGCTTGAAGGGAGTCGATAAAGAATGCAGATAAATTGAAGGCTCCGATCAGCTACTGTAGGGTCTACTTTATGTACCTATTATGTCATCAGTGCTTGCTATTCTCTCACAGACTCGAAGCGTCAAGCTCTTCCTGTAGTCAAACTCTCCAACCTTAGTCATGTGAACTTCCCATACTCGAATGCAGTCACCGAGTACAGTGATTGTAATTCATACACAATTACTTCCAGTCCTATATGTGTTTGGAAAGATAAGTGTCACTGAGATTACATTGCATTCGTCGATATAGCACACGAAACTAGGTATTTGAACCGACCTCCACGCGTTCTTGATCTTCATGCGACATGTGTCTTTGCTCTTCGCGCTCGCAGCCCTTCCATTTCACGCCCGAGCGGGTTATCAATTGAATTCTTCACGAAATGTGGCTGTCTACTGGGGTAAGTTAAATGAGATATGCGGCTTGATCATGGTTATAACGGGCCTGAACCAGGGCAAAACTCCTTTGCCCAAAGTAGCGGTTCCGTCTCTCAGCAACGCCTTTCATACTATTGCTCGAGTAGGTATGTCTCTGTCAAAAAAGGTGACCAGGCGTTAACAAATGGTACAGATCCACACATCGACGTAAGTTTGTGTGCACAGCTCGAGGGGCAGAAGTCTACTAATTCTGAGAGAGAAGATTATACCACTTGCTTTTTTGAATGGAATGGGCCCCCTATCACTGAACTTGGCGAATGCCGGCAACAAATGTTCCCCTTTCTCCGACAATCCCAAACTCTTACAATGTCCCCAAGTCGAGTGAGTCTCCTAAGACATCGCGGCATGCTTGAATGCTTATTCTCTTCTGAAGGCAAGATATCATTACCTGCCAACAGGTCTACGGCAAGACTATCTTACTGTCCATAGGTGGCGCCACATACAGTCAAGGGGGTTTCCAAACTGCCGAAGAAGCATTTAATGCTGCTCATGCAGTTTGGGAGATGTTTGGCCCTGTTTCCCCCAGCAGCTCCGGTAGTCGTCCATTCGGTTCCGCAGTAATTGATGGATTCGACTTTGACATCGAGAGTCCGGTCAGTAACATGCCCGTCTTCGGAAGCGAGCTAAGAAGACTTATGGATCGAAGCACGGCTGCGAGTGGAAAACGCTTTTATCTCTCGGCAGCTCCGCAGTGTCCGTTTCCTGACATGTTTAACCAGGAGCTTCTGGGTGCTGTAGAGTTCGATGTCGTCATGATCCAATTTTACAATAATTACTGTGGCGTCGACTCCTTCGCTCAAGGTTCCGCAACACAGATCAGTTTCAACCTTGATGTTTGGGACAACTGGGCACGCAACAGTTCTCCCAAGTCGAACACCAAGGTCATGGTTGGTATTCCAGCGGCCCCAGGTGCTGCTGGTAGGGGATTTGTAGAGGGTGCTCAACTGAAGGAGGTGATTCGTTTCAGCAAAAGATTTCCGAGTTTTGGCGGAGTGATGATGTGGGACATGTCGCAGCTCTACGGTAAAACCGGTTTCCTTGAAGAGATTAACACAGATCTGAACACTTGAGTTACTACCACTTCTAATAGAGATAGATTGGGATTTATTAGGGTGTATTAGTTCTTAAATCGACTTTTAATAATGATAAAGCTTGCTTTCTTCTTGTAGTATGATATAATAGTAGAGTTTAAGAGTTTAACTATTTAATAAATTATACTATTTAAGTTAATTTTCCAATAACGTACTCCACTAGTGAGTGCAATACTCAGTTTTACTCCTTAAATCGCGATTTTTAAACCTTTTTTAAAATTTCAATCTAAGCCTAAAATACCTAATATTTTAAAAATAAGCTAGCTATATTAAAATCTATTTAGGAAATAATCCTTAAAAATCCTAGGCAGCTAGAACCTAGGTAAATACAAAAAGTGGGTCTAAAGGACCCACTTTTCCAGTCTACCTAGGCTCCTAAGGGGTAGAATTTCTAGGAATTATTTTCTATATAGCCTTTTTATTAAATAGCTTATTTTAAAAATCTTAGCTGTTTTAGGCTCAGATTAAATTTTTTAAAAAAGGTTTAAAAATCGCGATTTAAGGTGTAAAACTGAGCGTTCCACTTACTAGTGGATTACGTTATAAAAAGTACTACTATTCTAATACTACTATAATAATATAAAATAGCTATACTATCTATAGCTTAAACAAATTAAAAAATATTATATAATATTAATATAAATAACGTATGTGATAAGCGAGTGGGCCAGACAAGTGAGTGCACCAAAGCAGTTTTACACCTTAAAATGCAAATTTTAAAAAATTTCTTAAAAATTTAAATTAAGCTTAAAATATATATAATTTAAGAAATAAGTCTATTAATTCAATTATAATAATAATAAATTTTCCTATATTATTAAAAAAACTTTTTATAAAGTTATTTAAGAAAATCTTATTCACACTGTTTTTTTTTCTTATTTTTATTTTTAAAAAGCTAAATTAATTTTTTTAAATTCTAGGAAAAAATGTTATCTTATAACTTTCTTATTGAAATATCTAAATTTAATTCCCTAAAACTCCTAGAATTATATGGCTAATTTTACAACTCTCTCCTGTAAAAATTCTTCCTGACTAGCGGCTGTTAGCACTAGTGTGGAAAATTTTGCCGGCCCACCAAAATTTGGCTGCTACAGCAGTTGGTGCCCTTCGGGCACTAACACCGCAATAAAGGAAGGATTGAGAGAGTTGACTTCCTTTACGCAGCAGCCACGGCCACAGCCCAAGGGCTCCGGCCATGATCGGAGCCTGCTGCCCTGACCAGCTGGGCAGCTAAGATAGCAGCAGACCCACAGCACGGCTTGCGGGGGCCAAACGACACCGCTGTGGCTCTTATACATGCTGTAATGCTGGTTCAGACCTCGCAGCAGGTATAGCTATTGCAGCCAGCCAACAGCAGTCACGACACCAGCTTCAATCTAGGTGGGCGTCGACCTCTGCCCTGATCTTTACGACTCGGCACTTAGGTATATAAGGCTATTAGTCTTAGTACCTGCTTGGGCCTCCGGGCCTGAGCTGCCTTGGCCTCCAGGCCTCGGCACCTAGGTGCGTAAGGCCACCGCGTCTTAGCACCGCTTAGACCTCCGGGCCTAAGCTGCCCTGACCTCTGTGTCTCGGCACGTAGGTGCATAAGGCCACCGCGTCTTAGCACCTGCCTTGGCCTCCGGGCCTAGGCTACTATGACCTCTGGGTCTTAGATGCCTCGATCTACGGATCTTGGCTGTGAATCCAGGTCTACAAGAGGTCACAGAATCGGGCTACTTGTAGGCATCAGGGTTCTGGCTTGATGGCCCTGATCAATGGATGCTAGCTGCAGTGGTTTTTCCCTCTATGAGTTCCCGCGAGGTTTTCCCATCTGCAGTTATTCCTATCATACGGATCTCGATTTCTGGAGGTTTTGAATGCCGGCAGGCAGGAATATGAATACTGGAGAATTCCAAGCTGGTTAATAAACATGGGTATGCTGACACCTGCCCTGAAAATCCGCTGACGGATATCGGGCTCGAAATAATAGGTCAAATAGGGCCGCCTAATTGCTAGATGGAAGAGGAAGAAGGGTTGCAGTCTGGGACTGTAGGCCCGAGCCATAGGCCAGTAGTGCCTACAGCTCTGGCCCCGGGTTATTGTACTTAGGTCTCTTCTGTTGTTGACACCAGCCTAGCACGTCATCTTGCCCCTAGGGGATTCTGTAGACATCTCTAGTAGATATCTTCATGACGGTAATAATACAACAACAACAACATATGGCTAATTTTAGGAAATTGAAAATTATGACTTTTAGCTGTACAGTATAAGTGGTGCACTTACTTGTCTGGCCCACTCGCTTATCATCTACGTTAATATTATATTTAAAATTTAAAATTAATATATTATTTACCCCTACTATTTTGTTGGTGGGAGATGCACTTAGTGCGGACAGGGCCGGCGACAGCAAGAGTCCAAGATACCCTATAGCTTGGGTCAAGAGGAGGTCCAGCAGCTAAGACCAGCAGAGGGATTTTGGTAAGAAGGAAAAGGCAAGCATCTGATCAGATACTTCTGAAGGCAATAAGATAGAAAAGAGCAGGAAGGAAGGGATAAGAGCTGCTGCGACAGCTGGTCAATCGGCAAATTAACGATAAGGACTGTCTTGAAAGGTTCAAAATTGAAAGAGGAAAAAGGCATGCCCTTCCTACTAGAGGCCGAGCTGTTCCTTTAAGTAGTAGCTAGGCCAGCAGGCTAGTCCTACTGTTATTAGACTCCAAAGTGCCGGTCAGCACCATCACACTATATACAGTAGCATTTTAGCACCCCCTTAAGAAAAGCAGCTAATATACCATAGAAAACCCCCAAAAGAGAAAAACCAGCCTATTAACCGCCTCTATCTAATATATAAGATTATACAATCAGGCCTGCAGTACTACCCTATCGGGCCTGCTCCAGTTGCTTACCCCACCCACTACTGCCTACCTCTTTATCAGACTTATCTTATTCTTATTCTTATCCTCCTCCTTGTCTGCCCTCTTCTTCCCTTCTTTTTCTTTTTTAACTTCAGCCTCTTTTTACTATAAAGATATAACTAAAAGGGCTAGAACTGGCTTTACAATAGACTTAAGATATTTAAGTACCCTACTGATATAGGTAATTCTGCTAGCTAACTTAGCAAGCTAGTTAGATAATAATTCTATAGTAAAAGCTATAGGAGCAGTATAAGTATATGTTAAGAGTATCTAACTTTTAGTCTTCTAGATTTTATTTTTAAGCTTTTAGAACTTTATCTTCTGTGTGAACGGCCTCTAGTAGCTGGATTCCAGCTATCTAGTCCAGGATGCTATTTACATCAAAGATGAAGAAGAAAGAAAGAAGTTCCCAAATGCCCCTGAGCTGTGGAACGATTTCCCGTCCCTGGCGCGCACGAGCCTCGTACGTCTTGCGGCACAGCCGCAAGAATATGGGCCCTGGCCCGTGACATTCTGAAATAATTGTATTAATATTAGACTTAGTCTAGGAGAGATATAAATCTATATTAATTTTACTATTTTTATATAGAAGAGTAATTATTAATATTTAGGTATTAATAACTATAGTAAATAGTAAAGTAATATATATCTTTATACTATTAGTATATTAAACTTAACTTAGAAAAGTTATAGAAAACCTACTAAATTAATCTTAATAAAGATCTACTAAGCAATTTTTATATATCTATATAATATATATAGAATAAAAGATTAAAATAAGCTAGCTTAAAACCTCTAAAAGTATTCTTCTTAATTCTCTTTTTTTTATCTATAAATAGTTACAGAAAACCTACTAAATTTAATATAAATATATATTAAGATTACTAGTTAAGTTTAATTGAATATAATGTTAATCTTATGAAAAGAACTAAATTTAAAAATATTTTTAAAAATAGCAATATATACTAACGTACATGATAAGCGAGTCGGAAATACAAGCGAGTCGGAAAAAATCCCACACTATTAAGATAAAAACTTTAATAAAAACACAACAACGCCTTAAATCAATTAAAACTAATCGTTATCCTCTTCTTCAGAAGTCTCAATTATAATCTGACAGGTCCTTACATTATGACCGGCCTTTCCACAAGTTCCACAGCGCCTTTCCCTCAGCATCGCCGACCTCCCTCGACCACCACTTCTCGACGATTCAGCTACTACCTGCGCATCAATATCTCTCTGATCCATTTCATCCCTCCCCTCATCTAGAGTCATCTTCCCTCCTTTACGTAGGCGGGTTCTTTTCGCTCTGCGCCGCTTGCTAAGAGTCTCATTTGCCTGTCGAAGGATCTGGACCTCAGACTTCAATAGGGCGTTCTGATGCATTATTGCCTTCGTTCCCTTTGAAAGTGACTTAAGCGCCTCAAGAATTGATGCTGGAGAGCTGCTCTGATGCCTTCTCATTCGTCTTTCGAGGTATTCAGATTGAGAGCTAGCCTCAAGCACAGTCTTTGGGGTCTTCGAGACCCAAGGGTCGGGGAGGCTGATCTCCTCCCTCACCGGTGTTGGAGTCCGTAGCTGCACATCAAGCTTCGATATGACATTTTCTGGGTTCAAGGGAACAAGCCCGGCCCCTCGAAAACCTCCCTCAATATTACTCCTTGTCATAGCAGCTTCGTAGGCAGCGTAGAAGGCTGAGAAGAACTCGGTCTTCGAAACGTGAGTTATGGAGCATCTGATCAATTGCTCAATTTCTCGACCATAGGCTATTTTAAGCGGCCCAAAGCACCCGACATCAAGAGGCTGGAGCAGATGAGATGAATGAGGCGGCATACAAAGCGTAATAATGTGGTTCTCTTCACAATATTTCTCAAAGTCGACGGAGTGGTGACTTTCGTGCCCATCGAGGATTAGAAGACGATAGCGACCGGTCGATCGATTCTTTGTATGCTGATTAAAGTGCTTGAGCCACTCAAGGCCTGTCTCATTATCGGTCCAGCCATTTGGAGTTGTTGCAATAGCCCAATCACCCGGGAGGTTGCTTTCTTGGTACCAGCTAGCGAGGTGATATTGGCCCGCAACCACGATGAACGGCTGGATCGCCCAGCCTTCCGCATTGATCGCCTGAATGACCGTAACCCATTCCCGGTTTCCAGGCTGGACTGATTTCGGATTTCCACGCCTTTCTGCGCCTGTGACGACCATTCCGCTTGCAATTATGCCCATCATAAAGCCAGTCTCATCAAAGTTGTAGATATCGGCTAGGTCGATGCCATATTTCGCGATTGTGTTCTCCACGAGCCGGAACCAATTGCGAATAATAGTTGGATCTTCGCATTTAGCCCTCTGATAATCGTATTTACGAAAAAAACGCGTCTTGAGCTCTGGTTGTCGCCTGACGAAGTTAGAAGCCCAGCGCTTGCCGACAGGTGACGCGTCGCGGTCAGCGAGCAGTCGGTTGGCCATTTCTTCAACACCACGCAGTCGCGGGGGAAATCCTCGCGAATCCAGGTCGAGAATGAATTGAACAATGATCTGTTCCTCGAGATCGGTTAGTCGACGCGAATTAGGGATAATATCGCCTCGAGAAGGTTTGCCATGATGTCGGTCATAGAGGGTACTAGGCGGGACTTTATATATCCTTGCAGTAGGGTAGACGCGTAATTTTGGATCATTTTGAAGAGCCTGAAGGGCAAGGATGATATTTGCCTCTTTGCTTGACTGTGACATATTTGGTGGTTGAGAAATAATTGATTAAATAAAAAGAAGGAAAGTTGAGGAATTTTTTCCGACTCGCTTGTATTTCCGACTCGCTTGTATTTCCGACTCGCTTATCATGTACGTTACTATAGAAGATCGAAGTCCCTGTTCTAAGCCTCTCCCCACACTCCGATTAAGACACAAACGTAACAGGTCGCAACTACGTCGATTGGTCTTATCCACTTTATAAGGTTCGCCGATGAGTGTCAGAATACTGTAATACTAGACCACGAACAGTTGGCAGTGCATAGTTGAACGATATGACAATTTTAAGTGAGCTCCACATAGCGAGTCATCATTATTCCTCCTTTCTCAAACCCACTCCTACTGTAAGTCGGAGTAGATCCTTCCCGTTTCAGCTCTCGGATACAAAGATTAGATCCCAGTGATCAGGCATATACGACATCTCTGCTAGCGTTAGAGGGATTATGGCGAAATACAGTGAACCTATCCGGGATATAGACTACATGCGTCCGGTATAGCTGTCTCAACAGGCGGTATTGCGACAGTCGCCCGCATAAGTGCGTCGCTGCCCAAGTTCGGACCCGGCCAGAGCGCCTAGTGTGACGCGATAAAGACGCGACGAAGCCGTGGTCTGTGCTTGGGTACGCCTTAACACCAGTGTACGTGTGGCGAGGTACGTACGCGCCCCGGTTCTCTGGCCGTGACTTCTCCTTGTCGGCAACTCTGTATCGGCTGATCGTAATGCATTCTCGCACACCTTCGGTGGGCATATGAGACGGCATGTCACACTGAATGGATAGGAGAACGATGATAATGATGAAAGCTCTTGATTTCTAGCTAAGGGACGGGCTTAGAGCCCGTCTTTTATACATGATGAAGACGGCTGCTGCCGGAAGCGGCAGTCCGTCGCCGCCGCACAGGGGCCGGCGATGTGGTCTGAGTAACAAGAGAAAGAAAGAAAAGTCGCGTTGTCTAGGAAAGCCGGAAATGAGGTTATTATGCGTCTCAGAATGACCCCGAAATGTGATAGTTATCGTCGGGGAGCCCTAATGATCAATAATTATGACCCAAGACTAACAAGCCATGTATCTTTTCCATTCTTAAGTTCCGGTTGCTTCTGAAGACCCTCAAAATAGCAATATCGAGAGTCCATTTCCTCGACAATTTCTTTGACTATTAAAAGAATCTCTCCTAGAGACCCGCTTGTCGTTAATTTCCATATACTTAAGGTACCAGTAGCATTTTTTTCATGTATCTCTTCTTCATTGGTGCCTTCATCGGTGTCTTCTTCTTCATCGTTGTCTTCTTCATCAGTGTCTTCTTCTTCATCAGTGTCTTCTTCTTCATCAGTATCTTCTTCTTCATCGATGTCTTCATCAGTATCTAGTTCAAAAAGAATATAAACTGGCTCTTTGAATACTTCCTGCTTTAGATTTGCTTTACCAAAGCAACAAACTATGCCAGGGTCGCTACCATCTGCACGTGGAATTCAATAAGAGGCCGCCGAGGTAATAACCTTCTTAAGGTTCCGTCCAATTGGAGTTTTCGAATACCCATCTATAGCTTTTGGGCTATATTCGATAGTTGCAACTTTTTCCATGGCATCCTGCACCGGGTATGTAGAGCACCAACTAATATTTCGAAGAAGTTCGGTACACTGTTTATGGGCCATACTGTGATTATACAGTATACACCTGTTATATAGTTAGTTAATTGACTAATTGACTAATTGACTAATTGACTAATTGACTAATTGACTAATTGACTAATTGACTAATTGACTAATTGACTAATTGACTAATTGACTAATTGACTAATTGACTAATTGACTAATTGACTAATTGACTAATTGACTAACTAATTGAGCACATGATACAGAGTAAGCTAGATGGCGAAAATGGGCTTACAGATAAAGACATCGCCGAAGTCAACCAATGTACCACCCGCACAGTACGCCACATCCGATCGAACATGCTTCTCTTCGGAGCAACGAAAGCCCCCTCGAACGGCGTCGGTCGACCTAAAACAATTTCTCCTCTCATGATGACTGCATTGCGTGCCGAACTCACCGTCACCTCTTGTATGAATATCCGTGAAATGGTCACCTTCCTTCATAAGGAGTTTGACGTCATTGTATCAGAGTCTGCCATTAGCCGAGCTCTGAAAGAGGCGAAATGGTCTCACAAGGTGGCAAACGTTATTGCCAAGGAGCGCAACGAGGAGCTACGAGAGGAACATATCTACGAAAGATCCTTTTACTACTCCTATCAGATGGTTTTCGTAGACGAGTCTGGAAGCGATAGAAGTATCGGGACTAGAAACAAAGTCTGGGCTCCTGTTGGGGTCACGCCTGCTCAAGTTAAGCATTTCCACCGTGGACAGAGACTCCAAATCCTGCCTGCCTATACCCAAGAGGGTGTTATTCATTTCCGAGTATATGATGGATCAACCGATGCTGAAATCTTTGAGGGTTTTATTGAGGAACTCTTGCCGTACTGTGGCAAATGGCCTGGCCCAAGATCCGTCCTGATCATGGACAATGCATCGTTTCACCACACGGAGAAAGTAACGCAGATGTGTCGAGATGCGGGCGTCGTATTGCTTTACCTTCCACCCTACTCTCCTGACTTTAACCCCATCGAGCGATTCTTTGGGGAACTCAAAAACTACATTAGAATGGTGTGGCAAGATCAGGTGAACCTCATTCAGCGAGATTTTCAGCTCTTCTTGGAAGAGTGCGTGGACGTGGTCGGCAGCCGAAAAGCCAGCGCGGAGGGTCATTTTCGCTGGGCTGGGGTTGGTATCGAGGAACCACCAGAATAAAATAGAGGCTCCGTACTTCTACAACGCAATAATATATTGATCAACGAAGGCTTCTATGTCCCGAACCCAGCGGCGCGCCACGCCCTCTAACACCCCGTGGTCTATGTAAAACTGTGCATCATTGTCTTCATGAATAAGCTCAAGATCAAGGCCCCTTTCCAGCGAAAGGTCACGAGCCAGCTCGTAGTGGCTTTTTGGTTCCGTTCCGCTAACTTTTGAGCACTGCCACCTACAGTATGCCTCGACTGCATTGTCTCGCAGTCCAGGTACGCTGAACGAGGAGGACCTGGAAGATGACCCATCTGACAAACTCGGGGTAGATCTGTTTGAGCCATCTGCCGTTGCCTGGCCAGCATACGCTGGGATATAATTATTAATAACCATAGGCGCTGGACTGCCTGCTGGTTCGGAGCACGAGTCTTGTCTCTTGCGCTTACGATTTGCATGTTGTTGTTCCTCGGCAACAAGCTGCGTGCGAATGTCTTCTGGGACATCATCATGTGTGTCGAGCTTACCACCCCCCTGTACGAGCCTGACGAGGGTTCTCAAGTGATGGCCTAAGAGTTTGTAATGCTTCTTGGTCCCGAGATCCTGCCAGCAGTATGGTCCACGGTCGCACGGAGGTCCGGGGCATTTTATCACTCGGAAAACATGCTTCCAGGATGCAGGTACATCCAAAACAGCCTGCTCTGCATTGGATCGGATGTCCTGATCGGCAAGCCGAGGACCAGTAACCCTCTTCCAGTGGTGCCCGTAGTGCTGTCGCTCTCCACATAGTCGAATGAGATGTTGATCTTCTGTCACATTTTGGGGTCATATCCTAGACAACGTGACTTTCCTTTCTTTCTCCTGTTATCTCAGACCACATCGCCGGCCCTGTGACCACGATCCCGGTCCCCGGGACCCACAGGGCCCCGGCCCCTGTGCGGCGGCGACGGACTGCCGCCTCCGGCAGCAGCCGTCTTCATCATGTATAAAAGACGGGCTCTAGGCCCGTCCCTTAGCTAGAAATGAAGAGCTTTCATCATCATCATTGTGATCCTATCCATTCAGTGTGACATCTTCAGCCTCTTCCCGATGCGAAGTAGGTGGCTCCATGCATGCAGTTGTTTCTCTACGATTGGCCAATCGATTCCCAGCTCTTTGAAACGCTTGGTTATACAGGAGAGGCAAGCCGGTCGCGGCTTGCGCAAAGAGCCTTGAGGAACGAAGGTTGGCTATGGCAGTTTCAAGGTCAGTTGAGATGTGTTCGATGGAGACGTAAACGTCAAGTGCAAATATTGGCCTTGAATTGGGTGATGTTAGTGACATATGTATCTACGGGAGATGGGGTCCTTTCAAGGGTATGCTGGATGTAGGAAGAGAGGGGCCATGAGACACAATGCAAGATTGAAAATGTCGTGCAATGGAGACGCAACCTTGCGTCTGCAGAATCATGTATCCATCATGATCAAATGACCAGCTTGCCTCTGTAAGGTATGTGTGGGAAAAGACAGAAGGCACCGAGTTGCGGGCGATTCCGGGCGCGGGCAATTTTGGGAGGGAGTATCAAAGGGCAAAGTGGAAGATTCACAAGACGGTCTGCATGTCCAAGGATGGGCGATGTGGGCGAGGAGCATTTACGTACTTTGGGGGATACTGATGGCGGGCACTGGTGGATGGACAACAGATATCTCAATCTCTAGACCATCTCGTTGTTTAACCTTCCAGGTCAGGACGTACGGGTGAACACGACCGTTCATGAAGAACCATTGCTCAGTCCATTCTGATGCAACGACTTGTTGATTGTAGATGGAGAGGTTGAGGCTGAAGAAGATGCAGCTGGAGTGGTTGTCGGGGTCTGACCGAAGTTGCGCATACTCGGGGGTCAAAATCCAGGACGGGGCAGGTAGGAAGACCCTCGCCAATGCCTCTGCGTTGAGCCCCTTAATGCGATGCTGGTCCTGATAGGCAAATCTGGACGGGCAGTCTGGCTGGACGAAAAGCATCATAGACATATCACTGCCTGCGTTTGTCTGGCTCTCGAGGGGTTTGCGAGGGTTCGAGGGGCCAGTGGGGAAGGAAGCGGGAGGAGACATGATACACTGGAGTAGTGGTTGCCAGAAATGAGCCAGGGATACCCGAGACGAACGTTGGAGGTAATAGGATGGTAGATGCTGCGGCAGGGAAGAGCAGAATAGGAAGTGAGCGAGGTGATGATGGCTTGGTCTCTATAGATATAGATACAGGGGTAGTTCTCGGGAGACACAGCATCTGGGGTGCGGGGTTCGGTAGATCAGAGCCCAGACGACGGTCCGGGGAAGCTTCAGGTTTCAAGTAGATGAAGAATGCGGGGTTTGGATGATAATCGAGGCCGATCTGGCGCCAGAGACGTCATCAAAAGTGATGTATGTCCAATGTCAGACGTGAGATATGACTGTAGCGGATGAAGTAGTGTCTTTTTCTGTGAAGCAGGTGAATGAAGGCGAAGTGCCGACATGGAATCAGCTGATATCGGGGTAGCAACGGTTTCAGCTTGAGTGTGTCACCGACTTGCAGGATGGGAGTTGCGGCGCTCGACAAAGGGCAACGTCGGCAGTTGAGCAAGAGTCTGGGTTGTAGGCATACAGGAAGGGTTGTAGGTGGTTAAGGGGACGATTAGCGGACCGCTCGGATACTGCAGGAACCAATGCCGTATTAAGGAGCATAATCACCATCATCCAGAAGCGAAATCGTGCAACTAAAGAGAGTCCGACGCGGAAGCCTTGTGACCTACCGTCCGCCTGGAGTCATCGATGTCGAGAAGGCAGCAGCAGGATGAATAGTCTTGTGGCCAAGCCAAATGAAAGAGTTGCTCGCGCGGGAGCCTGCTCACGGTCAGTAGGGGATGGAGTCGACGGGAATGATGTAAGTGTGTCGGAGAGGGGACAGGGAGATGACACGGTAGGGAGCGGAGTAGATGTGGTAGCGGCTGCGGAAACCGAGCACAGCGCACGACGCGAGAGATTCGGACGTTTGTCAACATACGAGTCACCGGCAAACGCAGCATCAAAATTCCGGCCGATTCTATCCAAGCAACCCGTGGTTGAAGAGACCGTATGGAGACAGCATGCGGAAGCAATTGCAAGGTTGTTACCCAAGAGACCTCTGCGAGGTGGTCTGCGTCCAAACAGATCACGGAAGTCTCATGATACGGCCAACAGTGGAGGTTCCGCGCAACATCAGCCACCGAGTCAGCTTCAAAGTCAACACCGGAGAGACGAGGCTATGGATTCGAGGCAGCCTCGGCGGCAGGGAAAGAGAAACTGCAATAGCAGTCGAGATGAGCCTCCGAGGAAACAAATTCGAGCCGGAACCCGAAGGCAAAGGAGAAGGGAACTGCAGGCCGAAGACCTGGCGAGCGTGTTGCGCTTCTTGGAGGAGGACTTTGCCGTGAAGGAGAGACTGTCCAACGAGCAGACGTGGTGCACGCCAGTACCGCACGAGAGAAAGGTGTCGACCGTGCGAGATTTTTACCAGGCGTTCCACGATGCGAGCACCTTGCCGATACGGACCTGCATGCTGTGCTACCGTAAGCGGACGGGAAAAGAGTCGTTGAGAGGGCCTTTGTCTGGCTGAAGAAGAACAATCCACACTATGCTGAGATCGAGATCGACGCGGCGGAGATGGAGAGCTGGGGTGCGCCGCTACACGGGGTGCCGTCGTTGGTGTACGATCGCATGGAGCGAAATGAGCCGTCGGCGTGGGAGAAGACACGAACGGCGCAAGTTGTGCCGCCCGTGGAGCGGGCCATGGAAGATCGAGGAGATCATGGCTCTGCTCAACGAGGGACAAGACGCGACGGGCGGCCAGGCTCAGGGAGCCGGGGGAGACGAAGAAGACGAGGTCCCGGGTGGAAGTGACGTTATGCCCGATCATGCTGCGAAAGCGATCAATGAGGTGACCTCCTCTGGCATGTTTGCGCTGGACGGACCGCCGGATGTAGAGGACGTCGAGAAATTGCGCTTTGCTTGCGACGCCGTCGGGGGGGAAGGTGCTGGTGATGGCAGTGCGAGGGCACGGTGATGGCTGTGAGCCGTACATCCAAGTTTCGCGTGGCGACGAATTTGCCGATTCGTTTGAGACCTCGTTCTTCGCTAAGACGTTCCCCACCCTGTTCCCATTTGGAGTTGGAGGGCCACGATTGGTTGAAGAGGCCATACTCGGAGCGGGAAAGGCCACCGATTTGCGAGGTAGGACTGTTGAAGCAGAGACGGTCAACGAACGAGGGGCGCTTCATGTTCATGGACTGCTCTGGCTGCACGGAAACGCGCATCTGGCTTCGATGCTCGCCGACACCGACGCCAAGGACCAAGCGGCATACCGAGATCGCATCATCCAATATGTCGACAGTCTTTTCCGAGGTATGTTTTTTGGGGAGAGGGGGCAAGAGGTCGACCGTAAACCGTCCCTTATCAGTCGAGCGCGACGAAGCTGACGACCAAGGCAGGATCTGGACCAGGAAGGTTTCTGTGCAATTCAGGCAGAGCGATCGGTGACATCGGACATATCGCAGCAGCTGCACGACGACCAGCGATTTTCAGCCTCATTTGACGACGAAGCCAATTTCTGTGCCGGTGCAACACAGATCCACACCCATAGCCCTACGTGTGTCAAGTACTCGCTGGCCAAAAAGGGGCCGAAGAGCGGCCTGTGTCGTTTCAAGGCGCCATGGAGACTAGTCGAGAAGACGGAATTCATGGCGGACGGAGTGCTACGGATTCGGAGGTCGCACAGCATGGTGAATCGGTGGAATAAGGCCGTGGCCGTGGGGCTCCGACACAACCACGACATCTCTTTTATTGCCACGCAGCGCAAGACCATGGCCCTCGTCTATTATGTCACGAATTACGCGACCAAGGTAGAGGACCCGGTGTGGAAGCGCGCAGCCGCCGCGGCAGAACTCTTACCTGTCAGAGAAGGAGCCGGAACTGCCGACAGCGGGGAGGCTCGTGGGGACAATGATGCCGGTGACGATGGCAGCCAGAACAAGACGCGACAGTTCTTGATGAAGGTGGCGAACCGCGTGTTTACGGAGCGGCCGTTATCGCAGGTCGAGGTCGTCGCGGACCTCCTGGGATGCTCGACTGAATTGACGAACAGCAGTGCCTGGGCGTTCCTGAACGTGTCGTTGCTCTACTGGCAGGTCTTCCGACAATGGCAGCATCTCCGACAAGAAAGCGGCGGAGCAACCGCAGACGGTTCCGTGGACGAGCCAATACTTGTTGAAGAAGCAGGCCAAAGAATTTGTCGGGTCGAGGCATATCGTCACCGGGGAGATGTCCTGCGAGGGCTGTGTCTCTACGACTATGCGTCCCTGGTCAGGCTCAAGCGCAACGACAGGGACGAGAGGCCCGCCACCTGGGGAGAGGTACCATTCGAGAGCGGGTGGGCTCCAGGAAGACGTTGGGTGCAGGTGCTCAGACGGCTGGGCAAGCAAGCCACTGTCTGCCTCGACGGGTATTTAAGCAAGGATTTCGACGAAGACGAGGAAGGGTCGTGCTATCGGAGGTGCGTCTGACGCTGACGGAGCAGGAAGGCCGTGTTAAAGAGGCTAACTTCGACGTTGAAGGGCAGCTGTGCAGCACCTTGCGCTGTTCGTGCCGTGGGAGTCTTTCTTGAGCGAAGCAAGCGGCGACATCAATAGAATTTGGGCGCAGGCACGAGTGGAGCTAACTCCGAGAATATCATGTCTCGTCGACAGCGTGCAACTGCTCCGACGGTCGGCCGAAGATGCAAAACGTGACGCCAAGCAATGGGCAGCCTCATCCGGCGACGGTGACTTCACGGGCGTATATGGCGACGAGGATGGCGTGGGGGAGGCGGGTGAAGAGCCCACATCTGCTTACCGGGCAGACAGCACCGGAAACACAATGCGACTGATTGACGTCGTCAGAAGTGCAATCGAAGCGAGCCAAATCACGGCCGGCTCACAGGAGCTCACGACAATGATGCAGCAACTCTGCCGCTTTCAGCAATCGGCCCTGTCCTCGTGTGGTGAGCTCCAGGGCACCATAATACCCGAACTGGGGCCAAGACGGATAAACACGCCCGGGAGCAAATTATCTGGGGCCGCCATACCACCGCAGGATCAGATTAGGGCTATAAAGTCGTAGCAAATCTGTGCGTCCAAGGAGAGGGAGAAGATGATACAGGGCATACAAAGCGTGGCCGTGACGCAGGTGACTGATCTCTGCGCGGCCGTGCGGAGTGTGCACACTGGCTTCGGAGAAGAGGACATCCAAATGACGGCGACGGACTCCGAGGAGACGGAAGCGAGAGCAAGCGCCGGAATGGAAATCCACTTTGGTGCCTCGACCTCCTTCCTCGAGGCGGGCAAGGCCCTGGTAGCGCGGCTCACGCTGAACAAGAGGCAGGCGATCGCCTTCCTCATCATTTGCCGCCAGCTCGATCTGATACGACGCAGCGAGAAAGGCGACGTCGGTCAGCTCTGCCAGTTCGTCGGTGGAGAGGGCGGAACTGGCAAGACACGAGTCATCGAGGCACTCGTCGAGCTCTTCGCGGCAAAGGGCCTTTCGAACCGTCTACTAATAACGGCGACGTCAGGTACCGCAGCAGCGCGGATCAACGGCATCACGATCCACTCTGCTTGCGGGTTCTCGAAAGATCATGCGGCAGGCGCGAACATGGCCAAAGATCTCGACGGTGTGCGCCTGCCGAAATAGGCAGAGCGATTTGTCCATGGCCAGTCTCGGATGGACTGACAGGAGAAAGACGTGCTAGTCATCGACGAAGTGAGCATGCTGGGAGCTCGGACGCTACACGCGGCGAACGAGCAGCTCTGCCGGCTCCGCGGATCGCAGCAGGACTTTGGCGGGATCCCCATCGTCCTTTTCTGCGGAGACTTCCACCAATTCCGTCCCGTACAGGAGAGATCGATCCTCCTTCCAAGTGTGGCCGTCTCGTGGGACGAAGACAACTCGTTCAAGGCCGAGCAACGGCACCAGCACGACAAGGCGCACGCGCTGTAGAAGAAGTTCACGACGGTCATCATGCTGAACGAGCAAGTGCGCGCCGCCGGAGATGCGGAATTGCAGAGGCTGCTGAAACGAATTCGATCGGGCGTGCAGGACCGCACGGATTTGGACCTTCTCAACTCAAGGTGCTATCGGGAGGGTAGAAGGATCCCGTGGGAGACGGGCATCACCGTGGTGACGCCGTTGAATAGGAATCGGTGGAACCTGAACATGGAGGCCACATTGGCGTTCCAGATCCAGCAGTGTTCGATGATGCGAATCTTCATATCCGAGCACAACTGGAAGGACGGCCTGCCGACCGAGGAAGAAGCCATCATGATTCTGAACCAGGGCGGCGACAGTGCGATACCGGTGCCGGCCGTCTTCATGTCCGTGCCGGGGATGCCCGTCGTTGTGAACCACAATACGCATCAGGGGCTGAAGCTGGTGAACGGTGCCAGCTACTCGGCGGTGGAGGTCATTGTCGACAAGGCGTACCCGGGGCATCGGATCTCGGCCGACATGACGATCCACTTCGGGCCGCCGGCGGGGATAATCCTGGAGTCGGAGACAACTAAAGATGTCCAATTCGTGGGGATGCCGCCAGGCACGATCCTCCTGACGCCGATGAGCGTGAAGATACAATGCCAGCGGAAGCGGCCGTGGCAGAAGAACGATGTCAGCCGAAAGGGTCTGCCGTGCGCAGCGGCTTTTGCGTGCACATACTACAAAGTGCAGGGCAGGACGCTGGAGCACGTAGCTCTGGAGCTGCGAGGGACGCGGACGACAAACGTCGACGGACGCGTCGTCCCCTCGCAATGCGACCCGTACAGCCTGTACGTGCAGCTGTCGCGTTGCCGGACGCTGGACGGCATCATGCTCGTGTCCAAGGTGCGGGAGAGAGACCTGGTGGGCAACAGGGTCCCCGAAGAAATGACTGCGGCGCAGGCGAGACTGGAGGAACTGAGCGACAGGACGGTTCAGGAGGCGTCGCGCTGGTTTGATGACGGTTCTCAAGAGCCAAGGCGACTGCGTTAGGTGGTAAATCCGGCGTGTTGTCGGAACACGCGTTTGGCCCAGTAAACGAGCGAGTCGAATCGTAGATCGCGCTCTAGCCCTCGTTGCGCCTTCAACCCCATTAGCCCGGGACCCCACGGGAAAGCTTCAGGGTGCGCGGGAATCTGTCATCGTGTGAGTTGTCGGTTGCATACGCGCCACGTTCCACCGTACGAGCAGCTATTCTCCTGTTGTGTAGACTTGCACAGCGCACGACTCAGCCCGCAATTACCGAATGATGGGGCAGATTGTTGTGAATCCCGATTTGTTGTTTTCCGTATGGGGGATTCTCTGTATCTCCATGTTTCCCTCGCTTTTCGTTCCTTTTTTTTTTTTTTTGGGTGTGTGTATGTGTGTGTGTGTGTGTTGGGGGGGAGTTGGTATTGGTGTTGGTGGTTTGGTGTTGCCATTGCTTTTCTTTCTTTCATTCTCTTCATTTTCTTCCCTGGTTACTTTTCTCTTATTTCTTAGTTTTCCTTTTTCCTTTTTTTTTTTTGTCTTTTTTTTTGTCTTTTTTTTTTGTCTTTCTCTGTTTTTTTTCCCTTGTCCCTTTTTCTTTCTTTTTTCTTGTCCTTTGTCTTTTTTTTTTGTCCTTTTTCTTTATCTTGTCTCTTGTCCTTTTTTCCTCGAAGTTTTTTTTTTTTTTTTTTCGTCAGAAATTTTGCCTTCACTCATCATCCCTCTCTTGTCGCCTTCTTCCTCTCTCCTTCGTCCATGTGGGTGCCTTGAATAATCAAGCTTCAAGCACGCGTCACCCGGCGTCATCTATTTCCTCGCCATCCACAAATAAAGCCGCCACTCAAGTCTCCCATCCTCGTCCCCTATCCCCCCTCCCAAGACAGCTGTAAGAGTGTGCGCCAACATGAAGCTGTTGGCAACAGCGCCCAGCACCATGGAGCATACGGATGGGCGTTGTCAGGCATAGGGTACACGTCGTCAAACCCATCCGAGACAGAAGCAGCTTTGCGCATTTTCACAGTCCCGATTAGGGCATCACCGCCGACTAGCCGCCATATCCGTATGCTTCATGGTGCTGGGCGCTGTTGCCAACAGCTGTATGTTGCCGCGACACTCCGATCCGCCTCTTGTTGAAAGGCATCACGAACTTTTGTCCAGTAGGCGTGCAGTCCCTTCTTCCCCGATACCCGAGATCCCATCTCGGTCAGCGACTGATAATCGCTGAAAAGATGGACTGAGCCGCTCGCCTGCCTACTCTTGTCATCTTCGCTCTCGAGGGCCCTGTGAGTCTCTTCGACTAGGGGCCTCAGCCTGAGGGAACCTGTTCATTGTTCCCCGTATTGCCACATCCTTAGCTAGTAAGCATGCCGAGATTGAGACGGGTGCATTCTGTAGAGAGTGCTATAGAGCCCGGCGTTGAACTCATCTTCCTAAAGACAGACAATTGTGCAGCGCCTACGTTACTCAAGCAGATGGGGAGACGATATGTCGACTGGAAGACAACATGCCGAATGTACAAGTTCAAGTCATGCTATGTTGCGTTGCAACTCGGTCACTGAAGTTTCTTCCGCAGCGACCGACGTACTGTTAGCATAATCAGGACAACTGAGCCTTGTAGACAACGTACCATGTTTCATGTGCACCGACCGGCTTTCCGAGGACGGTTGAGCAGATGAGCTGCAGGATGACGGGAGAATAATGATGTCGCGCTCCTGTCAATGCCACCACAGTTGTCTCGTCTTATGTTCTGCGGGGACCTGTTTTCTCAAGCCTCTGTGTTAGTACGCTGAAACGAACAAGAGTACTTGGGGGCGTCAGTGGAGTGAAAACCGACAGTGAGGATGGGTTTGGAGGGGGGAGGGAAGTGAGGGAAGTGAGGGAAGTGAGGGAAGTGAGGGAAGTGAGGGAAGTGA